TGCAACTACATTATAATATAATGTATCATTCTGTGGTAAAGGCTGTGTGCTACACACGTGTGTAGGGTAATCTCTAGTCACCACCTAGTACCTCCCATTTACAGCACACCACGTACCACACCGTGCATGTCTTACACGTACGTCTATTGTTTGATTCAGCATCTTCTGCCACGCGTGTGTCGCATGTAGTAATAGCCTCCATGCATGGCGATCATGTATATCAGGGAGTCGTACTCAAACTAATTTTGAGTACGACTCCCTGATGGCGATGTATGATTCAGCATTAATTCATTATAATATGCCACGTTTGCGGATTGCACTGCAGAGGCTCCGCTTCATGTAACACTGTAGTGGCCCCTTCGTTTTCTCTGCAAACCCGCTAGAAATACCAGAATTTTTTAACGCCAAACACCATAGCAACCACTGCCCTGGATAACCCCTGTGCCACTGCCTGCCTCCATTGCGGCATTGGCCTTGTTTTCTCTGCAAGTAAAGAGTGGTTTGCAAGTTTTTCTCTCTCTTCGTAGGTGACTTTGACGTGTCTTTTCCTTTTGTGATTCAGTTTCCCTTAGCGTAGCTTTCACGACGATGGACCCTTCGGATTTTATTTCGTTGTTGGCTCACCCTGAGGTGCGTTTGGCTTTACAAGCTGCATCCGCCCCCACCGGCGGGATACAAAATGGTCCCTCCGCCCCAACCAGCGGAATACAAGTCGGTCCCTCCGCCCCTACCAGCGGAATACAAAATGGTCCATCCGCCTCTGCCAGCGGCATACAAAATGGTCCACCCGCTCACTCCGGCGGTATACAAACAGGTCCTTCCGCCACTGCCGGCGGCTCACAAATTGGCACACAGCAGACACCACCTCCGAGACCCTCAGGGCTTGAGTCACACAGGGTTGCCACTGAGAGCCCCCGGGCCTCAGATGACGAATCTGTAGGTTACAGTGGCCATGCACGTTTTGCTAGGGACAAATCCCCAGGTTTGAACGTCCTTGTTTCCGACAATGAGTTCGGCCACGGTCGTTCCCGTTCTCGGTCGCCATTTTCCCATCAAAAACACCGTCGGGGACTGGAAAAGGCCAGGCCGCGAGCGGGCAGTCCGCGCATGCGCCCTCAACGGGATTTCCGCATAAGGCCCCGCTCGCAGAGCTTGGGCCCAATTGGGGTATCGTGACCGATCCCCCACGGCTTCACCGGAACCCCATAATAGGGCTCCCTCTGTACGAGGGCATGGAACCGGGACTGGGGATCGATCTCAACGACGACGTCGTCGTTCGTCGAGTGAGTCCGGGTCGGGACCCGGCGATGTCGTCCACTCCCGGGCCTTGTCCGGGGGAGCTAGGCGGAGAGTTTCCATCTCTCCTCGTCGTCGACGCTCGCGGGGCAGACGCTCCCGGTCCTCATCCACGGACTCCGGATCTAGTAGTCGGTCATGCTCCTCGTGCGAGGATTTCTCCTCTAGTGGGACGGACTCCTCACCTGACCGTGACCATGGAGACGAGGTATTTGACCCGTCGCGCTTAGGGGCAAAGGACTCTTGGCACCCACCAGCGCATATTGCGGCATTCCTCCGTGCTAATGCCCGGCGGTCTCTCACCTCCAAGCAGAAGGCAGAATTGAAAAAACTCTGCCCATTTCCGGAGGTGGAGGAGGCCCAGTGTCCTCGCCTGGATAATTTTGTCCGCGACCTCCCGTCGCTGGGCTTTGGCCGGAAGACCGATATTATTATTATATTATTATTATTTATTCTTCTTTTACTAGGGAATTCCCAACAGGCGTCAGCGCCTTTTTACAGGGAACCCTAGGTATAATTTGATGGATGAGCGAAATTCAGCTGGTGAACTAGACATGCGGCAAGCCGGTGGAAGTGTATTCCACCTGGCAGCGCCCAAATAAGAAATTGCACTAAAGCCATATCGGGTTTTAGCGGGGGGCAGAACAAGAGCAGCAGAGACTTGGCCACGGGTGGTGGCTGCAGTGCGAGCACCATGGGCGCGCAAGGTAAAGCGGTCTCGCAGAAGAGGACTAGCAAGTGCATTCAGGCAGCGGTAAACAAATACATAGGTTTTGAAGTTGAGGCGTTTCTCAAGGGCGTACAAGTATTAGTTAGTATGACTGTATAGAAGAGTGGTGGGAGTCATTCTATCCAACGAAAATATTCTCTTTAATGCTACGCGGCTGGCAGTAAGAAGCTTGTCATATAGGGTTTGTGATAAGCAATGAATATATGCAGTGCTGCCAAACTCAAATGTGGACTGAATGATCGATAAGTAGAAAAGTCGTTTGCCAAAAATGCTGATATTCTGCTTTGCATGGACAAATGCTCCGACCTTCCTATTGACAGTTGCACATACTGCATCCACTTGGGTTGAGAAAGACAGATGTTCGTCAACCAGTATTCCTAAGTACCGAGCGTAAGCAGATGGGGCTATGGAAGTGCCCCGGCAGTTGACTGCGGTGCCAGGTGGCAGCTCCTTGCCCGGTCGCCTGAGCAGGACAAACTGAGTCTTGGACGGGTTTAACACCAGTCCCTTCTGATCTAGGTAGCGATCCAGAGCGGCAAGGTCAGCACTCAGCTGGGTTGTGATGATCTGGATGGACTTGTGCCTGATATAGAGTGTGATATCATCGGCATAAAGTTGATTCAATGCATGTTGGAAGCACTGTGGTGCATCACGGGTGTAAATGCAAAATAGCAGTGGGCCGAGCACGGAGCCTTGTGGGACGCCTCTTGTGCAAGGGCGGGCCCCACCTAGCTCTTGTCCTACTCTTACTCGCTGGACGCGTCTGGTCAGGTAGCTTGCAAACCAAGCAAGTGCAGTGTCAGCAATGCCAAGCATCTTCAACTCGTCAATGAGCTCTTGATGCTTAACTCGGTCAAAAGCTTTGCTCATATCTGCAAACACTATACCGCAGTACTCGTTGTTATCAAGGGCTTGGAGCCATTCGTCGACCACTAGCGCTAGGCAGTCCTCACACGAGCTGTTGGTACGGTAGGCAAATTGATTGTCAGGCACGTACATGATGTTGTGTAACTTAAAGAATGCAATCAGCTGCTCCAAGACAACTCGTTCTAATATCTTGCTGCATATGGGCAATAATGAGACTGGTCTGTAATTAGTAGAGCTTTCTGCATCGCCTGATTTGAAAACTGGGCTGACTGTGGCATTCTTGAAAATATCTGGTACGCACCCTGTGCTCAGAGATTTATTGATAATATCAGTGAGAGAAACTGCTATGGAATCACGACCATGCTTCAGTACGGCTGGTAAGACGTTGTCAGAGCCAGGTGACTTACTTGTGTTTGTTGCTTTGAGCAGTGTGGTGATGTGCGCCACAGTTACGGGTCGAAAATGGGACAGTCGAGCAGCAGTAGTTGGCTGTTGGGTGGCTGGGCGTAAACATATGTCAGCAGGCCGGCTTGGATCATGCACTATGTTAGCAAATGTCTCTGTCAGACTACTGAGAGATGCAATTGGCTGATTTCTTACTTTCCGCCTGCCAGACAGACTGTTAAGAAGAGCCCACTGACCTCTAGGATTTCGTCGGAGTGCCGAGAACTGGTGCATCAGGAAACGGGATTTCAGTCTCCTACTCAGAAGCGTCCCCTCGCGTCTGACAGAACGATACTGTTGCTTAAGAACCATATTCCCAGGCTGCGAAAGGACTCTTCGATGCAGAGTAGTTCTGCGCTGCAGCAGTTTCCGTAACTCTGGTGTTGCCCACGGTTGAGGCTTAGGTTTGGGACAGAGGGGTAGTCTAACTTGTTTAGATGGAGCATGCGTATCAGTAACAGCAGCGATAGACGTTAGAAGATGGCAAGTTTGACTGTCCAATGTTGAAAATGAGGATGAGTCCTCGAGCATATCATTCAGGTCAGCATTAAACTGAGAGTAGTTGATAGTAGCTATTCCTGGTTTTCTCACAACCTTAGTTCTCTGGGTTGCTGGGGGCTTCCATTCCGGTATTACAATATCAAGGCGGACTAGGTGGTGATCAGTAAGATCTGACATGGGAATGATCGTTGGATTGGGCAATGGAAAGGTAGTGTTCAACAGAGCCAGGTCAAGACACGTGTTTGACGGCGCTCTAGTTGGTGCGTGGACAATGTTCTGCAGCTGGTGCTCTGCACAAAGCTTAAGTAGATGATGATTATGATGTAGAGTCGGTTGTAAGATGTCCGTGTTCAAATCTCCCAGAACTAGCAGGTCAGAGCTGTCCACGAAAATGCCATCCAACTGGGCACTGTACTGCTCCCAGAATTCTGTACCAGAGCTCGGTGGGCGGTAGACTGAACTCACGAGGAGCTTACACGCATCTGGCTCCCGTGCAATGCGAACTGACACAAACAACGACTCCAGATGTGTGTTGGATGCGGGCATGATGAGACGAGCGCGGAGACTAGACATGACGTACAAGCACACACCTCCGCCCCTCAAGTTCCTGTCGTTCCGATATATCCGATAAAGCCATGGCGGCAGTGCAAACTAGGGTATGTGCCGCGTTTGCGCCCGTTTCGGCGGCTTGGGCCGCAGTGGATGCTGGGCGACCAGCCAAGGAGATCACGCAGCTCCTGCAGGTCGCAGTGTCTTTGGTGGGTGATGCCGCTAATAGCATCTCGGTCATGCGGCGGCAAAGACTGACGGGGCAGCTCACCAACAAGTGCCCGTCCAGCCTCCTCCGGGAAATGGCCCCGTCTGGGAACTTGTTGTTCGGCGAGGACTTTACCAGACAATACAAGAAGCGGACTCAAGAAATTGACGCTTTTCGCCGCTCGTCTGGCTCGTCCAAGCCGAAGCCGGCATACAAGGATAGTCGGCCTTCCAACTTCAGGGGCCATAATTATTACCCAGCAAGTGCTGGTGGGCGTCGTGGGGGCCACCGCTCATTTCCCCGCCATGACAACCATAGGCGAGAGGGTCATTTTTCCGCCACTGCCAGTTCAAAAAACGGGCGTGGAGGCAATCGGCCCTTTCGGGGGCGCGGTCAGGGTCATTGATGACCCTGCCGGTGGATGGTTCGCGTTCCCAGCTCAACGTACATCTTCGCGGCCATCTAAGTCCACCCCACAACGAGCTGGCGCGCGCTCCGCTCGTGCCCCCGCTCCCCCAAATTCCGGTCGCTGGGCGTTTGAGGCATTTTGTGCAAGCCTGGTCGGCAATCACGTCAGACCCGTGGGTCTTGGATGCGGTGCGGGGCCTGAAGCTGGATCTCGTGGCCGATCCCGCACAAAGAACGGAGCCCAGGGAATTATCTCTGGAGGAGGACAGAGCGCTCGCTGTGCGGCTCGAAGTGGACGAATTGATGCTGAAAGGGGCTGTCACTCGAGTGCAGGAGTGTGCTCATCAATTCGTCAGCCAGATTTTCACCATTCCAAAGAAGGATTCCGGCAAGGAGCGTCCCGTGGTGAATTTGAAAGCGCTGAACGGGTTCGTGCGCTACGAGCACTTCAAGATGGAAGGATTGAAGCTGCTGCCCGATCTCCTTCAGCCCGACGACTGGCTGGTGAAATTGGACCTGAAGGATGCTTATTTCGTGGTGCCAATCCACCACGATTTCAGGAGACTGCTCCGATTTCGGTGGTCAGGTCAGCTGTTCCAATTTCAGTGCTTGCCTTTCGGCCTGAGCAGCGCGCCAAGGGTGTTCACCAAGCTCATGAAGGTTCCGATGGCGATTCTGCGCAGCCAAGGCGTGCGCTTGATTATCTATCTGGACGACCTGCTGATTATGGCATCGTCGGCGGTGGAAGCACTGGAGCACTTGCGCCGGGCAATTCAGTTGTTACATCAACTGGGATTTCTCATCAACTTCAAGAAGTCGGTGTTGACTCCTGCCCAGAACATCTCATTCTTGGGCTTCGAAGTGGACTCTCGTGCCATGGAGATGCGGGTGCCTCCGGAGAAGATCCGGAAGCTTCGCCAGGAGTGCACCAAGCTTCTGCTGCAGCCACGGGTGACTGTTCGCACGTTAGCCTGTCTGTTGGGGCGCTTGACATCCCTTTCTCCGGGTCTGCTAACAGCGCCGCTCCGTTACCGGCATCTGCAGGAGCTCAAGATCCTAGCTCTTCGCGAGTCCCAGTCTTACGAGGCGACCGTCCAGTGGACACCCGATGCCAGGCTGGATTTACAGTGGTGGAAAGAGCGACTGTCCGACTGGAACGGGAAGTCATTGGTTCGCCCACCCTGCAATCTGGTGGTGTTCTCGGATGCCTCCCTCGATGACTGGGGAGCAGTGTGCAGGGATCAACAGGTGGGCGGCCGGTGGACTCGGGCAGAGCGTTCCATGCACATCAATGCCCTCGAGTTGACAGCGGCGTTTCTGGCACTTCAGGCCTTCCACCGGGTGGCGTTGGACCGTCCGCTTCATGTTCGCCTGTTTGTGGACAATACCACTTGCCAGGCTTACCTCAACAAGATGGGCGGCACACATGCCCCGCACTTGTCCCAGCTGGCCTGCCAGGTGTGGGAGTGGTGTCTGGAACGTGGCATCACAGTTCAAGCCGAGTACATACCGTCGGCGGAGAACCCGGCCGATGCCCCGTCCCGTCAGGGGGTCGATTCGAGCGACTGGATGCTCGATCCAGTAGTGTTCCGGGGCCTTTGCCAACACTTCCAGGTGCAGCCGGCGATCGACCTGTTTGCGTCACGGACCAATGCCCAGTTGGACAGCTTTGTGTCCTGGGGGCCTCAACCCGGAGCACTGGATGTGGATGCTCTTGCCATATCATGGGCCGATCAATGCCTGTATGCGTTTCCACCCTTTGCTCTCTTGCCGAGGGTTCTGCACAAAGTGCGCCAGTCCCCGGGGTGCAGAGTGTTGCTGGTGGCACCAGTGTGGGATGCGCAGCCATGGTATCCGCTCCTGCTCCATCTTCTGGTAGCATGTCCAGTTCTATTACCGGGCCATCCAGCGCTCCTCACCTCACCGCTGGATCAACCTCATCCCATGGTGCTGGTCGGTCATCTCCAACTAGCCGGCTGGCTCATCTCTCCCGATCCTATGCGGCGGCAGGCCTTTCATCAGGCACTATTGCCCTCATCCTGGGATCATGGCGGGACTCCACCAACTCGGCCTATTCGTCAGCATGGACAGCTTGGCACAGTTGGTGTTCTGAACGGCGGATTGATTCCTTTCAGCCGCCTGTGTCACAAGTATTGCAGTTTCTAACTGATATGTTTGCCGTGGGCCGAAGTTACCGCACGTTGAATGTGTATCGCTCTGCCCTGTCCTCCACTTTGCCAGGCTTAGATGGTGCGCCAGTTGGCCAACATCCCCTGGTGGTTCGGCTTATGCGTGGCGTCTTCCAACAGCGTCCTCCACAACCCCGGTATTCCCATACTTGGAAAGTTTCCGATGTCTTGGGTTGGATGGGTGGTCTGGGTGACAATTCTACCCTCTCTCTGCGCCTGCTTTCAATAAAGCTGGCTCTGCTCATGGCGCTGACTGGCGCCAAGCGCTCTTCTGATTTGCATCGTTTGGATTTCCATTCCCATGTTACTGAGGGTGATGGGTCTCTCCGTGTGACGTATGCCTCCATGCCTAAGCAGCGTCGGCCTGGTTGCCGAGGGGATGCGTCCCTTCCCACCGTGGTGTGGCCTGTCTTCGACAGCACGCCACACTTGTGCGTATCAAGCTGCTTCCAGGAGTATGTCAGGCGCACAGCTCCTCACCGTCAGACTGCTCATCCGCAGATTTTCCTCAGCCTGCGGCAGCCTTTCAAGCCGGTGACATCGTCCTCTATAGCCAGGTGGATAAAGGATGGTGTGACTGCGGCCGGAGTGGACACAGCGATATTCTCAGCCCATTCGTTGCGTGGGGCTGCTACATCGGCCGCGCATGCCGGTGGGGTATCCTTAGCGGATATCTTGCACCAAGCCGATTGGTCATCAGCATCTACCTTTCGGCGTTTCTATCTGTTGCCAGTGGACGCGAGCCCTGCACGGACAGCGGCAGATCAGTTCACGGCCACGGTTCTTCGACGGACTTAGCTATGTCCGGTTCCTGGACTATGAGTTGGATTTTGCAAATACTTGAACTCGCAAGTACTCACGTTGTACATGTACTTCTGGACTCTTATCTAGTCTTGTTCTCGTGCATGACGACATGATGGGTTGTCAACCCATTTTTCCTCTCTTTTGGCTTCTCTTGCCTGTACTCCCATTCGGTCTATTTCGGATGGTATTCTGACCTTGGACACTGCATGTATAGTGGTTTTTCTAGCCAGGTACTTATTCCTGTTTTCCACTGGTCTTGGCCTGCGGTGATGTATTGTTCGTCACCATTTCGCTTCACGCTGCTTGTGGGCGGTTTGTTACTGCGACAAATAGCTACAGTGTTACATGAAGCGGAGCCTCTGCAGTGCAATTGTGGATTATACAAGAAACCATAGGTTTTGATGTATAATCCTAATTGCATAAGGAGGTGAAGCGAAATGTAACACTGTAGTCCCTCCCGGCCTATCCCCACTGGGGCGTGCTCAGGATTTACAGAGCAGTTCAAACAAGGCCAATGGAGGCAGGCAGTGGCACAGGGGTTATCCAGGGCAGTGGTTGCTATGGTGTTTGGCGTTAAAAAATTCTGGTATTTCTAGCGGGTTTGCAGAGAAAACGAAGGGGCCACTACAGTGTTACATTTCGCTTCACCTCCTTATGCAATTAGGATTATACATCAAAACCTATGGTTTCTTGTATAATCCACAATTGTTAGTTACGGTTCTGCTGTCCCCATACGCGTACCCATGTACCCATGTATCCTGTATAGATCTAACTTACGCTCAGTTTTTAGTGGATTGGAACAGACTTGTCTTCTCGATGATGATGGTAGTTAGGTTTTTGCTTTGAGTTAGTTTGAGTGAGGATCAGGTAATATCTGTCTCAGTTTCTAGCCACTGACTTCGCGTTGTGAGTGACTGAACGGGGACCTTGGTGCTACGTAGGGAGTCCATCAAAACTGAGTCCGCTCGCGGTTTCAATATCTAGTTGCTTACTGCGTCGAAACGTCAACATATTGTATCGCCTCAGTGTCAAGAGAGTTTGGCAGCGATCGAAACCACTTGTTCAAGCTTCGAAAGTCGACCATGGCCTGATAACACTAGGTCTTGTCTGGAACGCGTTATGAGAAGACGCACAATATGCACACCCCGAGGCCACTACACTGTACACTGTACTTACTGCACCTACTAGTTGTACTGTAGTATCTTATACAGGTAAGTAAGTTACATTTTCATACACTCTGTCCCTGTGGCGACGTGTGGCCGGCCTCACAACTCTGTACAAGCTCCATTACAATCACAAGCCCACCAGCTCTTGCAGCGACACGCCCGGCCAGAGCCATCGCACCCGCCATCGCGCCTGCCACACGTCGCCGCTCGGCAGCCAACCTTGCGCACAAGCTTCAACTCCAGACAGCCCTACCTGCCAGATCGTGCAATGTTGCGCTGCGCTCTTTCCCGGAGTACCTCATCGAAGCCTGGCATGAACTGCCAGCCACTCTCCTCCTCGATGCACCGCCTGCCAAAGGGATGCAGCAGTTCAAGGTTCTGACCTACCGCTACCTGAAACGGTGGGGTTGGTCATTGGCCACGGACATCGCCCCCTAGGCTACTGCCAGTACGACCCTGTTCATGTTCTCGGAGCACTCCCTTCTCATCAAACTCCCAGTCCATCTGTCTTTACCGGTATCTCTCTCTAACTCTTCTCCATTCTCACTCTAATCCTTCGTCCAAAGTGCACGGCAATCAGCCTCAACTTTCGCCTCACCATCATGATCTTGATACTGCTATCTTTGTACTTGTTTGCGTACTTGTTTGCACTAATATCTTGGAATAACTCGCAAACTACATGTAACAAGTTTCCTGGTTTCCTCCCCTCCCTCCTCTCTTCCCCTACCCTTAGAGTTCTTGCACTCGTGCTCCCCGCCCTTCCACTCCCCATTTTGTTTCCTTTGGGTGCACATGTGCAGCTGTGATGCCGAGACCCTTGGTCGGCCGAGTTTCACAGGCCCCACCCACTCCGTTATGCTGGATATGTACCATTATGTCGAGTTCTCCTTCTCATTTTTGTTCATCATGCAGTGAGTGTTCAATAGTAAAAAAATCTTAATGACATGCCTAGACAGCCTGAACCTGTCTGCGGATCGCCCTACATTGTATTTGAACCAGCGCAACACAGCTCCCTTCAACACCACAGCTCCCTTCAACACCAAAGCTCCCTTCCACACCACAACTCCCTCCAACACCACAGCACCCTTCCACACCACAGGGGCTCCAGGCGCGTACGCAGGGTGGCGTCCAGGGGGGGGGGGTCCATCTTGTTCTTAATGAAAACTTAGGAGAATATTTGCCATAATAACTATATCATTGACATAGAAGATATTCAGATTGATTGGTTGACACTTGTTAAAGACTCCAAATCACTAAAGAAGCACAGAGAGTGAGAGGGCAGAGATACAAAGTAGATCTAGTAAGATACAGTGTTGGATTTCTGGAAAATGGGAAGACGATTTCAAGGAGTAATTGCAGTAGAAATGCATAACGGTGCTGAAACAGTGACGTTGGGCGACTTAGCATGCCAGGTCAGGTCAGGTAGACATACACGTACAATTACATACATTGCAGTTCGTGCATGCAAAATCATACTGGTATGCTCTGGCAACAATTGGTCGATCTGACCAGACGGAAAACAGTTTCAATAACCGTACGTTTAAGGCAGTTGTGTCAGATTCGGAAGGTCGAATTGTGTCCGGCATTAGTTCACTGTTCACGAAACATGGCGAGCTCAGCCAACCGCTGCAATCATTCATTCTCTCCCTCTCTCTCACTCACTCACTCACTCACTCACTCACTCTCTCTCTCTCTCTCACTCACTCACTCACTCACTCTCTCTTGTAGAGCGAACATACGATGTGATCAGGAATACATAATTGCAATTTTGATGTAGATCTTTTTCGCCATCTTTCCTCTTCCCCATCGCACTTTTACTGGTGTCAGCACGTGTCGAGCAGATATTGCCTGCTTGATGTGAAACAGAACACGTAATACAACAACAACAGCAGCAATCTCCAAAAAAGAAAACGCAACAGTTTGCTATGTTGAGTTGCACAATGGTATAAGTATGTACTACACCCTGATCAAGACCCATACTGGTCAGTCAGTCTTGCTGGGTGAAGAGAGCCAAGAAAACTGCAATATGTTTCCAAAAACGTGTGCCTCTACCCCATGTTATGTCTCGACGAATGGTAACCGCCCTTCATGAACCGTCCACCTACTGCTTCATCATCCTAGCCACGAAATCTTGAGTGAGAATCGACGGGTGATCGTCGTTTATCTCAACTCTGCAAAGCCGCATCCGGCTCCGCCGCATGCTAGAGAAGTTTGGCTCGAATGTAACTTCGTACATCTCTCGCATAGGATCTGTCTCCTTGATCCATTTCTCAAGCCACTTGGTGAAGTCGTCTGCGAAGTTCAGGGACGTCGCTTCAAACCAAACGTCTCCGCACATGCCAGGCAGTTCGTGCGTCTTGAAAGTGCTGATACTTGTCAAGATACCTTGGTCACCGTGAAATCCAAACACGATTCTAGGAATACCGACAGGATAGCACTGCGCCCATGCTCTCAGCAGTTTGTTGGCAAGAAACCACTGCGAGTATTCCTTCGGTTCTGGCTGATGCTTGTCGTAGCAAGTAATAGTTTTCAACTCCACATAGTTTCTAGGTGGTGATTCGAGTCCATCCAATTCACCATCCACTCCTGCAGCCAGTACGAACAAGCGAGCCTTGGAAGCACTCGGCTCTGTCCGCTTGCTCTCCTCTGATTGCTCTGGTACTAGCTGTGTTAACACGACAGTTACATATCCTGCAGCTTCACTGTACTTGTAGCTGCTGGAATCCACTGGCTGAATGTGAGATGTCAAGTACCTTTCAAAGCCATAGCGCCTGTAGGTCTTGGCCTTTTGTGCTGGTGTCAAATTTCTCCAGGGACCAAATGTTTTATCATTGCACAGATAGATGGTATTCTGGAAGCGACACACTCTAAGACGCCACCCACCGGTCGACTCCCGTGTTGGGTAGGGTGCAGTTAGGATTCTAGTCATCACAGCTCGTTGGACGACGAAGGTGACTGCCTCTGCATTCGGCCTCGGGTACTGTTTCAGTGCGTCTTCACCAGGGTTATCCAGCTTGTGCAAGATCCATTTCAGAACAGGCTTGAGGCCATCAGCTTTCGTGTTGAGTCTGTCTCTCCATTCGAACTCTTCAAAACCTCTGTTCAAATCCCATTCTAGCGATGTTGAGCCGTCGTCGGGAACCGTCTTGCAGTGACAAGCTTCGCGCTTATCCATGAACACATCACCATTACGAACCTGGGAGTAGTGTCCAATCACTGAATGATTTCGAAACGAATGGGTATTGGATATGCTGAGGCTGGGTTTCGGCACTTGAAGGTCACGGTACTCGTCACCTCCACTCGCCTCATCACGGGCCTGGGGTCGGGCACCTCGAGCAGCCGCCATTGGTTGCGCCAGTGACTCATCTCTACGCGCCTTGCGTTTTTCCTTTTTAGATGAAACTAGTTGCCAAGGGCCTCCGCCACTCGACTCAGAATCGGGACCTGGTTCAGCCTCGTCCATGGTTTGCCTTCCGCGACTGCCAAGCCGCGTCAGTTACTGAGTATCTACGCTTTGCGTTTGCTAGCTCGTGTTAACGTACTCTAGGTAACGGTTCCTGCAAATGACGCCCTGGACAACGCATTGATGGTGCTGGTGCAAGCTATCCGTGCTGCTCAAAGTACTGGACTTGATCTGGCAAGTACATGTACAGCGTACTGCACATGTATCTGTTATTGCGATACTGACTCCACAGCTCTTTTCTTCGTCGTGCTCAGACATTCATGAGCTTGTCTCCTTGTTTCACAAAGCAGCTCGGCAGCAGACACAACCAGCCGTTGATCCAAACCACACCCGTCATATCTAGTTGCTTGCATGCACTGCGTCGAAACGTCGACATATTGTATCGCCTCAGTGTCAAGAGAGTTTGGCAGCGATCGAAAGTTTCGATCAAGCTTCGAAAGTCGCCCATGGCCGGATAACACTAAGTCTTGTCTGGAACGCGTTATGAGAAGACGCACACTATGCACACCCTGAGGCCACTACACTGTACACTGCACTTACTGCATGTACTAGTTGTACTGTAGTATAATATACAGGTAAGTAAGTTACATTTTCATACACTCTGTCCCTGCGCGCGGCGGCGTGTGGCCGGCCTCACAACTCTGTACAAGCTCCATTACAATCACAAGCCCACCAGCTCTTGCAGCGACACGCCCAGCCAGAGCCATCGCGCCTGCCACACGTCGCCGCTCGGCAGCCAACCTTGCGCACGAGCTTCAACTCCAGACAGCCCTACCTGCCAGATCGTGCAATGTTGCGCTGCGCTCTTTCCCGGAGTACCTCATCGAAGCCTGGCATGAACTGCCAGCCACTCTCCTCCTCGATGCAACGCCTGCCAAAGGGATGCAGCAGTTCAAGGTTCTGACCTACCGCTACCTGAAACGGTCGGGTTGGTCATTGGCCACGGACATCGCCCCCTAGGCTACTGCCAGTACGACCCTGTTCATGTTCTCGGAGCACTCCCTTCTCATCAAACTCCCAATCCATCTGTCTTCACCGGTATCTCTCTCTAACTCTTCTCCATTCTCACTCTAATCCTTCGTCAAAAGTGCACGGCAATCAGCCTCTACTTTCGCCTCAGCATCATGATCTTGATACTGCTATCTTTGTACTTGTTTGCGTACTTGTTTGCACTCATATCTTGGAATAACTCACAAACTAACAAGTTTCCTGGTTTCCTCCCCTCCCTCCTCTCTGGCCGATTGGCTGAAGTCTTGAGGCCTCATCTTGAACGCCGCCAAGAGCCAGGTTCTGACCATCTCTCCCCAGCAGCACGTACAGGAAGTAACAGTCAAAAGCGGCGACTGTCTCCTCCCCTCAGCGTCTTCTGCGCGCTACCTCGGCGTTCACCTTGACAATCGCCTAGATTGGGACACCCATGTAAACTATGTGGTCACGAAGGTGGCCAAGAAAATTGGCGCCTTGTGGCGGGCACGCCGAAGCCTATCAAGACGCTCTCGTCAGGTGTATGTGAAGGCGGTCATAATGCCCGACCTGCTTTTTGGCTCCTGCTGTTTTTCAGCCGCAATGCGAGAGGGTCAACTGAAACGACTGCAAACCACGCAAAACAGAGCCATCCGCTGTATCGATGGCAACCCGCCCCGGACAGCCATGCAGCCGCTGCTCACTGCTCACTCCCTGTACCGTGTCAGCGAGCTCTACATGCAGAAAATATTGATCACCATCTGGCGGTGCATCCACGCCCGCACCAGCCCTGTGCTCGCCCAGCTTCTGACCCCGGCACAAGGCACCCCTACCCGCCATCAGCAGTCAAATGGCCTACTAAGCCAGGCAAACCGTAGCCGCCGCGGTCAGCGGAGATTTTCTGTTGCTGGTGCTCTGCTGTGGAACGCTCTCCCTGGTGAGGTCCGCACAATTACCCGACTACCTGAGTTTAAGCATGCATGTGTACCATACGCCTGTAGGGAGTAGTTCGAGTTGCTGCTGATCGCTCTGCTCTCCCTTCCCGTGCAGTTCAGTAACCCGCACGTAGTATCACAGATACATCGTATTCTCTCTCTCCCCCCGTTTACCCGCAGTTATTAGTATCCTATTCTCTTACTATGTGCTTCCATAGCTTTTACTATGTTCTTCCATAGGCACTTCTAGGCTAAGCCTTCGCCGTCATTTTATTGGGTCGTCATCCCGTTTGAATGTGCGAAGTGAAATAAAAACCAACCAACCAACTTCCCCTACCCTTAGAGTTCTTGCACTCCTGGTCCCCGCCCTTCCACTCCCCATTTTGTTTCCTTTTGGTGCACATGTGCAGCTGTGATGCCGAGACCCTTGGTCGGCCGAGTTTCACAGGCCCCACCCACTCCGTCCTGCTGGATATGTACAATTATGTCGAGTTCTCCTCCTCATTTTTGTTCATCATGCAGTGAGTGTTCAATAGTAAAAAATCTTAATGACATGCCTAGACAGCCTGAACCTGTCTGAGGATCGCTCTTCAGTGTATTTGAACCAGCGCAACACAGCTCCCTTCAACACCACAGCTCCCTTCAACACCAAAGCTCCCTTCCACACCACAACTCCCTCCAACACCACAGCACCCTTCCACACCACAGTGGCTCCAGGCGCGTACGCAGGGTGGCGTCCAGGGGGGATCCACCTTGTTCTTAATGACAACTTAGGAGAAGATTTGCCATAATAACTATATCATTGATATGGAAGATATTCAGGTTGATTGGTTGACACTTGTTAAAGACTCCAAATCACTAAAGAAGCACAGAGAGTGAGAGGGCAGAGATACAAAGTAGATCTAGTAAGATACAGTGTTGGATTTCTGGAAAATGGGAAGACGATTTCAAGGAGTAATTGCAGTAGAAATGCATAACGGTGCTGAAACAGTGACGTTGGGCGACTTAGCATGCCAGGTCAGGTCAGGTAGACATACACGTACAATTACATACATTGCAGTTCGTGCATGCAAAATCATACTGGTATGCTCTGGCAACAATTGGTCGATCTGACCAGACGGAAAAAAGTTTCAATAACCGTACGTTTAAGGCAGTTGTGTCAGATTCGAAAGGTCTAATTGTGTCCGGCATTAGTTCACTGTTCGCGAAACATGGCGAGCTCAGCCAACAGCTGCATTCATTCATTCTCTCTCTCTCTCTCTCTCTCTCTCTCTCTCTCTCTCTCTCTCTCTCTCTCTCTCTCTCTCTCTCTCCCACTTACTCTCTCTCTCTCTCTCTCACTCACTCACTCACTCTCTCTCACTCACTCTCTCTCTCTCTCACTCTCTCTCTCTCTCTCTCTCACTCACTCACTCACTCTCTCTCTCACTCACTCACTCTCCCTCTTGTAGAGCGAAGATACGACGTGATCAGGAATACATAATTGCAATTTCGATATAGATCTTTTTCGCCATATTTTCTCTTCCCCATCGCACTTTTACTGGTGTCAACACGTGTCGAGCAGATATTGCCTGCTTGATGTGAAACAGAACACGTAATACAACAACAACAACAGCAATCTCCAAAAAAGAAAACGCAACAGTTTGCTATGTTGAGTTGCACAATGGTATACGTATATACTACACCCTGATCAAGACCCATACTGGTCAATCAGTCTAGCTGGGTGAAGAGAGCCAAGAAAACTGCAACAATATGTTTCCAAAAACGTGTGCCTCTACCCCATGTTATGTCTCGACGAATGGTAACCGCCCTTCATGAACCGTCCACCTGCAGCTTCATTTCCTCAACAAAATCTGGAGTGAGAATTGACAGGCGACGGTCGTTTATCTCAACTCTGCGAAGCCGCATCTTAGAGTGTTCTGGCTCGAATGTAACTTCGTACATCTCTCGCAGAGGATCTGTCTCCTCGATGCATCTCTCAAGCCACTTTGCAAAGTCGTCTGCGAAGTTCAGGCACACCGCATCAGACCAAACGTCTCTGCACATGCCAGGCAGTTCGTGCGTCTTGAAAGTGCTGATACTTCTCACGATACCTTTGTTATCGTAAAAGCCAAACACGATTCTAGGAATACCGACAGTATAGCACTGCGCCCATGCTCTCAGCAGTTGGTGGGCACGAAAACTTCGCGAGTACTCCCTCGATCCTAGCTGATGCCTGCGGTGGCAAGTCTTCAACTCCACATAGTTTCTAGGTGGTGATTCGTGTGATCGACCATCCAATTCACCATCCACTTCTGCAGCCAGTACGAACAAGCGAGCCTTGGAAGCACTCGGCTCTGTCCGCTTGCTCTGCTCTGACTGCTCTGTAACTAGCTCAGTTAACACGACAGTTACATATCCTGCAGCTTCACTGTGCTTGTAGCTGCTGGGATCCACTGGCTGAATGTGAGATGTCAAGTACGTTTCAAAGCCAGAGCCCCTGTAGATCTTGACCTTTTCTTCTTCTGTCCAAACTCTCCAGCGACCAAATGTTTTATCATTACACAGATAGATGGTATTCTGGAAGCGACACACTCTAAGACGCCACCCACCGGTCGACTCCCGTTTTGCGTAGGGTGCAGTTAGGATTCTAGTCATCACAGCTCGTTTGAAGACGAAGGTGACTTCCGCTGCACTCGGCCTCGGGTACTGTTTCAGTTCATCGTTACCTGGGTTACGCAGTTTGTGCAAGATCCATTTCAGAACAGGCTTGAGGCCATCAGCTTTCGTGTTGTGTCTGTCTCTCCATTCGAACTCTTTAAGACCTCTGTTCAAATCCCAGCATAGTGATGTTAAGCCGCCGTCGGGAACCGTCTCGCTGCGACAAGCTTCGCGCTTATCCATGAACACATCACCATTACAAACCTGGGAGTAGTGTCCAATCACTGAAGGTGCTCGAAGCGTATTGAACCTGCTGTACTTGCGTAGTACCTCGAGCCAGTCATCGTTTCGATTAGTTTCGGAGCCTGATACCACCGCCATGTGGGTTTCCTTTCTTGTCAGTACCGCTTGCAATCCTGCCTGGTCGTATAAACTCTTGCTGCTCCTTGCTGAGCTCGTAAAATCCTGAGTCGTAAACCAGTTGCCCTGAGTACTGACCGGGAAGGTGATCTTAGTTTTTTAAAGGTGATATTAGTGGTTATAATATGCTCCGTATAAACAGGAAACGTGCGAGGAAATTGCCGCTAGGGAAGGTGTGAAGAAGAGTTTTCAAAGTGTGACGATACGAACAAAGCGACGTGTTATTGTTGTTATTGTGTTTATTTTAATTCGCAAACCAAACGGGCAGATCTGCCCAATGAAAAGGTGGCGAATGCAGATAGAAAGTGTAAGATAGGAATTGACAAACAAAACACACCCACACACACTCACACACACACACACACACACACACACACACACACACACACACACACACACACACACACACACACACACACACACACACACACACACACACTCACACTCCTGCCCATCGCTGAAGCGATGATAGCGAACAAACTATGTAGGACATGGATGCAGCTTGTGCTGGGATTATACCAGCGACTGGGCCTCCTGAACATAGCCTCAGCAGTGCTTGACCCTGGATGCCGACGGCTTTGTTCGCCCAGTCTTAGAGCATGGCATGCTAGTCTGAATGGGTGCTTCTCAGACGGTTCTGGCCCAACTCGATGCTGTACAGCGGAGAGCACTGCATCTGATCGGCGAAGGCGCATATCTGCCAAGCCTCGAACTCCGGCGCAAAGTGGCTGCTCTCTGCTATCTCTACAAAATCCTCTACCTGACAGGCCCACAGATGCTTACCCAAATGCTGCCCCCTCCCAAGCAGTACCAGACCACGACCAACATCCTGCAAACACCAGGTAGCAGGCGCGGGTGGCGCGGCCACCGCTACCAGCTGCAGTCTGATATCTCAGCCAGTTCCCGCAACAACGTCCGCCGGTCGTTCCTTGAAGGAGTGCTGGACACCTGGAACCAGTTGCCTCGCCAACACCTCCTGGATAACTTAGAACCTTCCAAGTTGGAAGGCTGTTGGAGTGCGCATTCAAGATGTGCTAGAGCTGTTAGCCAGTTAGTTGTAGAACGTCAGTACCGCCGGTCAGTGTCGTGCAATGTTATCGCCTGAGCTGATTGTTTAGTAACTGGTGGTGTTAGTGGACAGTATAGCGTAACTTATAGTTCCTTGGTCCTTTCTCTTTTGTATAAATAATAATAATAATAATAATAATAATAATACACAAAGGCACACAATGAAAACCTTGGCAAATTTTATTCCGTTATGACTCAGAGTTTCATGGCTGAACCAATCATCAGACAACGATAATAATAATAATAATAATAATAATAATAATAATAATAATAATAATAATAATAATAATAATAATAATAATAATAATAATAATAATAATAATAATAATAATAATAATAATAATAATAATAATAATAATGATGATGAAGAAAGGAAGAGGACAACATGTAGTAACTGGTGGTGTTAGTGGACAGTATAGCGTAACTTATAGTTCCTTGGTCCTTTCTCTTTTGTATAAATAATAATAATAATAATAATCTGCTGGGATGACGACTACACCATAGCTCAGTGGTTAGAGCATCGCTAGCTACAAGCGAGGGTCCCTGGTTCGAGTCCTGGTGGTGACAGTCAATTTTTTCCTCAGACTTTTCCCGTTTGTCTCTTTCCCTCAAACTAGTGAAGATGTTATGACTTGGGGCTCCCCGCGTGCTAGAGTGTACGTGAAGTGTGTGGGTACAGTGAGGGCTGCGTCCCACCCGCCTGTGTGGATTCACAGGAAGTGTGAGTTACGAAGTCTGAAGAGAATGTTGAACAGTCTCTGCTGGGATGACGACTACACCATAGCTCAGTGGTTAGAGCATCGCTAGCTACAAGCGAGGGTCCCTGGTTCGAGTCCTGGTGGTGACAGTCAATTTTTTCTTCAGACTTTTCCCGTTTGTCTTTTTCCCTCAAACTAGTGAATAATAATAATAATAATGATTCGAACAGGTTTTCGTACAACACTCTTCAGGAATCACCGTTGTACTAAAGAACAAAATGAGAACAAAGGAAATAATATAGCAATCAAGGCAGGGTGACACGTAACAATGACAGCACTGGAATATCGAGGTGCGATTTCTCACAAAAGTGTGCAGAAAACAAGGGTATACAAGTAAGAACTAAGCGTGACAAGTGTGTATCAGCAACAAAAACAAAAAAGTGAGAACGAATGATAATAATAACAATAATAAACAAGAAGGTGACAAAACACATTTAGGCACAAGTGGCAACAACGTTGCCACACACGCAAGGCATTTCACTTGCTGACTATTCCTGCCCGGCTTCGAGCCTACAAAGCCTTTGTCCGGCCGGTTATGGAGTACTGCCCAATCGTCTGGATGGGGGCAGCTTCTTCCCACTTGAATCGGCTGGACTGGGTGCAGGAGCGAGCCATCAAGGCAATACATCCGCAATGCTGGCTTCCTAGCCTCATAATTCGCCGCACCATCGCTGCCCTCTGCCTCCTGTATAAAGCCCTTTGCGATAATTCTCCCGCTCTTCTCTCGAGAATGGCTCCACCCCCGACACACCAACCCAGGACCACACGCCTCACCCGCCAGGCTGTACGACTGTCCACCGCGCATCCCCATCAGTTACAGAATGTTCTTCCTGCCAATTCCAGGAACAATGTGAGCCGAGCCTTTCCCCACTCCGTCATCCCAATTTGGAACCAGCTGCCTACCTCTATCATTCCCCACCCATTTCACCCAAAGAACATCCAAAAGTTCAAGAAAGCAGCTTATCACCATCTCCTCAGAACGAACTGGCACTGGGCCACTCATAGCATACGCGAGTAAGAGGGTACAGTGTCCTACCCTGCTTGGACATACATGTAATCTCTCCTCACGGACAGTCTCCTCTTGAATTTAAAAGTCTAACAGCGTTCACATCAATACTCAACTTATTCTTTTGCTCACTGAGCAATACAATCTTTCCATTTTCTTTCTTCTGTTTTCTTTTTCAATTTAATCCTCCCTACCCAATATCCCTTTGGTGCGTCCATGGAGCTATGAAGCCGAGACCTCTGGTCGGCGGAGCTTAATGGGCCCCACCACCACACTCCATCATTCACCCCAGTGTCTGGAGATATGTGGATTTTGTAGAAAAAACAAAAAAAACAAAAAAAACACTACACAACAGAACACTATTTGAACAATTTTAGGGTAATAACAGCCCTCGGGTGTGCCTAAGTCTGTGCCTCTGGGTGCTTTGCATGGGGCTGTGCCTCGAGTGGTGACAGCACCTCTGCCTCCCCCTGACCCTCCTCCTTCGAGGTCTGTGTTGGTGGGGAGCACCCGCGGCGGTCGATTTTGTCCCACCGGAACCAGAGCTGGATTCAACAGAAAGACCAACAACCATGGCTGCAACAACAACACCAGCTTCACATCCAACAACAACACCAGGTTCACATCCAACAACAACAACAACAACAAATCCACAAAACAAAGCAGCAAATGACAGACCACGGAGATCTACAGCAGATTACAACCGGACCTATGAATTCACGGTAAAAATACAAAGGAAACAATCGGAAAGGACGACGACTGACGTGAAGGCAACGGCATTCACGGTTGGCGTGGGTGGTGAAGGTGAGACGCAGGACAATGCAAGTGAGGAGGAGAGTCAAACCGTGGTGGATGACGGAGCAGGTTCTGATTCGGACAGTGAGGGAGAAGGTGAGCTGAGTGAGGGTGAGAGTGAGCGTGAGGGTGTGCGCGTGAGTCGAGATTGTGTGCGTCCGTCTCGTAATAACAAGTCTTCAGTATACAATCATTTGGTTTCTAGTACTGACTGTTGTCGTACTTATTCTGACTCCTGTTTTTCTGTTTTGTGCCGTGCTCGTCATGGTTACCTTTTGCAGTTACAAGTTTTGGAAGCTGTTTGTCAGCGCATTCATAAGCCGAATTTGTGTGTCCAGAAAGATAGTGTTATTACCCTAAAATTGTTCAAATAGTGTTCTGTTGTGTAGTGTGGCAACGTTGTTGCCACTTGTGCCTAAATGTGTTTTGTCACCTTCTTGTTTATTTAGAAGTTGCGACTTCGGCGGTAATGTCATGAAGTTGGTTGCTCCAACGAGGAGCACACGCTTCTTGCCGAACTTGACACTTGACTGACTCACGACTGCCATCCGGAGCACACCAGGAGCACGTCGCACCTTCCGCTCGGCAAACCTGAAAGAAAGCACCACTCCCTGCTCAATACACAGTGTTTCGGGGAATTCACCCCTCATCAGTTGGAGCAACCAACTTCTTGTTTATTATTGTTATTATTATCATTCGTTCTCACTTTTTTGTTTTTGTTGCTGATACACACTTGTCACGCTTAGTTCTTACTTGTATACCCTTGTTTTCTGCACACTTTTGTGAGAAATCGCACCTCGATATTCCAGTGCTGTCATTGTTACGTGTCACCCTACCTTGATTGCTATATTATTTCCTTTGTTCTCATTTTGTTCTTTAGTACAACGGTGATTCCTGAAGAGTGTTGTACGAAAACCTGTTCGAGTCATCTTTTTTCCATTGCCCTTTTTCTTGGGAGAATGAAGTTGAAGACACCACTGCAGCTGTACTTATGGTTGATAAATATGGTGGTAAAGACACACCTGGCAATATGGCGGTAAACACACGCCTGCCCACACACGCTCTCTAGGCTGCAAAGTTCTGGCACAGAGCTCTCCTTCTCACCACCACCACCATCAGTTCGCGCCTGGCGCCTGGTCGATGCATGGCTGGCGGTATCCGGCATAGCAGGCTGGTACATCAAGTAGCGCATGGCACATAGATGATGACACAGCAACGACATAGCTCGATTGCGACGTACGTTTCGTCCCCGCTGGACTCATCAGGCAATCTTCTTCTTGGATGTCTTCATACGGAGCTTGACTCGGGAGAATGAAGTTGAAGACACCACTGCAGCTGTACTTATGGTTGATAAATATGGTGGTAAAGACACACCTGGCAATATGGCGGTAAACACACGCCTGCCCACACACGCTCTCTAGGCTGCAAAGTTCTGGCACAGAGCTCTCCTTCTCAC